TGAATTGTAGGAGGGCTGATCTTTGTTGTTGGGGGAGCTGGTTTAATTCCCTCGTGAATGCTCGGCAACCAGAGCAGCTTCTGAAGCACTTTATATGCATTCCAGCGTAGCATCATAGCTAGATATGACAGCAGTTCTTTCAGCTCATGGATGCTGCAGTAACACGAGCACTGAGAAAATCTGCAGTAAGAAACTGTTCTAGCTGAAAGTGCCAAATTGTGGTAGTGAAGCCTCTGTGCTGTGAGCATCTTCTGAATGTGACTTGAATATCTCATGAAATGCCAATGTCTAAACTTTCCTTTTAAACATGCCTGTAATTCTGACAGCAGATTTTGCTGAAAGTTGCATTCTGTACCTGAAAACATCAATTTAGATGAAGATAAATTTGTCTGTTCTTCATAACTGCTAGCCCTCCCCACCTCCTTATAGCAGTGCCGTTTTTCTTTCTTCATGCTCCTTTTCCAGTGTGTGAATGGTTTGTGGTTTGCTTTCTTTTTCTTGTTGAATTGTGCTGAGGGGATTCTGCCTACAGGCAGTGATAAATACTTTCCCTTACTGCGTTATAGCTCTCTGATTAAAGCATTCGACCTCCTTCAAACAAAGGAAGGGATTGAACGTGGTTTGTCTGACCCCTGTGTGTGCACCAGCTCGGGACCTCATGAATTTAAAAGGGCTTCAGAGGAGATCTTTTGGACATCTAATGGTGTAGTCGGGCTTTACAATGTTGGCCACTCTGATACCTGTCTGCCAGTAGCGGTCATAAGAGATTGTGCAGCGGGAGCTTTGGCTCCCTGTGTGAGGCCTGAGCAGAATTAAGTGTCTGAAAATATAATCAAGGGTAGTGATATCTGAGGTAGCAAGAAGGATTTAATCTCAACTCCATCAAAGACTTAAGTTCTTAAATCCCAAAAGGCAGGAAGGTGCCTTCCCGGCTGGGCATTCTCATTGGAGCCTGCTGGGATGAGGAGGAGGTTCACCAGGGGGCTCAGTAGGTTCTGCTTCAGCTCTGAAGGCAGAGCCTTGGCAATCCTCGCTCAGCTGCTGCCTAACGTGAGGTGGGACAGCAGGGCATAGCTCTGTCCTCCTGCCTAAGGTCCTTCCTCGCTCAGAAATGATCATGGCCCAGCTGTCCCTAATCTGGAGGGGTGGTCTTGAATGCTAAGTGATAAGCTCATGCTTCTCTGCCTTCCCTCTCCTCAAAAAAATGCAAGTGGAAGAAAATGGTAGGCAGATGTTTTCTCCTCTCTTCTCTGAAAACAGAAGGCAAATCCTCCCCACTACTACTGTTTGGAAAAGTGTTGAGGCCATGATAGGACCAAATATGTCCAGGTAGAAAAGAGACTTGAATCTGGGTTTCCCGCAGCCTGGCTTTCTGCTCTAATCTTGGGTTAATTGCACGTGAAGGAAGGAGTGTGGCCACTTGTGCTGCCTTCTGGGAAAACAGCGTCATTTCCTTCTGCATCCGAGGGGTAAACGTCTGTCTTGTTTTCTGGCTCAGGCTGCATATTAACTGCGGGGAAGGAGGGCAGAGTCGTGCTCCTGTAGCAGCTGTGCAGCACTGTGGCTGAGGGGGAAAACTTCCAGGGCCGGGAGTATGAGGGAAGCGGGCATCTGAGCCTGAGTGCTGGGGCCGTTCCTGGAGAGTCCTGTTCATGAACCGGTGTGTGTTACCCACCAGCTGTGTAGTCCAGCATGATCTCTTCTCTCACTACTGACTGCTCAAAGCTTTTGGCTAGCCGTGCTCTTCACCTCAAGTGCTTTGCTGAAGCATTACAGCATCAAGAGGATGTGAATCTCGAAGGTGCCCCAGCCTGCACCCACACAACAGGACAGCTGCTCAGGAGGTGGAAATGGTGGCAGCTCACTCTTGCTTCCTAAGCAGGTATTTAACTACAGAAAACATCTGTAATTGCTTTCCTCGAGTAATTTTCTATCTGTGGAGGAGACGCAAATCCCTGAGGAGAGCTATAGACCTGGGCAGGCAGCAAAGTGCTTGACAGATGATCACTGTGCTTATGTTCTTTACCAAAGCTGATCCGCATGCTCTGTTTAAAGATTTAAATGTTACAATTATCCAGCATAAGAATTAAATGCACTAGTTCTAGCATGCCTTCAACATTTCATGCATCCAAAAAGCCAAGGCATATGACATGTATGAAGGACTATAAAGCAAGGCAAAAAAACTTTCCTCTCCCTCCTTGCCACCCTCAGCCAGGGAGGGGAAAAATTTTAGCATTAAATGTCTTTGTTGTGTTTAGCTTCAGGGAGCATCATGATTGCAGAATCACTGCTACTGCCTCCCTTCGTGGTTGGTTTCATGAACTAAAAGCTGTTTTAAATAAATCTAAACCACAGATTAGCTATCTGATGGCACTAGAAGTCTGGATTAGCAAATCTCTGAGAACTACAACATCTAAATCCCATCTTTAAGGAACAACAGAGTAACTCAGTTAAGGTATTTGTACTGGGTCTGGCTGAGGTGGAGTTAATTTTCCCTATAGCACCCCCCCTTAGTGGTGTGCTTTGTAGCGGCATCTAGAAAGGTGTTGATGAGGCACCAGCATTTCAGCTGCTGCTGAGCAGTGCTTGCACAGCATCAAGGCTGTCTCTCCAACATTTCCCCCCCTCACCAGTAGGCTGGGGATGGCCAAGATCTTGGGAGGGGACATAGGCAGGGCAGCTGACCCAAACCGACCAAAGGGGGTATGCAGGTTGCTCAGAGCCCCGTCCAACCTGGCCTTGAATGTTTCCAGGGATGGGGCCTCCACTACCTCTCTGGGCAACCTGTTCCAGTGTTTCACCACCCTCATTGTAAAGAATTTCTTCCTTATATCCAGTCTAAACCTACCCTGTTTTAGTTTAAAACCATTACCCCTTGTCCTGTCACAGCTGGCCTTACTAAAAAGATTTTCCCCATCTCTCCTATAGGCCCCCTTTAGGTGCTGAAAGGCCACAATCAGGTCTCCCTGCAGCCTTCTCTTTTCCAGGCTGAACAAGCCCAACTCTCTCAGCCTGTCCTCATAGGAGAGGTGCTCCAGCCCTTAGATCATAGCCAGGACAGCTGACCCAAACTGACCAAAGGGATGATGTCTGCTCAGCAATAAAAGGGAAGACAAAGGAGGAGAGGGGGCATTTGTTATTTATGACGTTTGTCTTCTGGAGCAACTGCTGCGCATACTGAAGCCCTGCTTCCCAGGAAGTGGCTGGGCATCACTTGCTGATGGGAAGTAGAGAATAAAATCTGTTTTCCTTTTACTTCTGCTAGTGACTTTGCTTTTGCTTTTATTTAACTGCCTTCATCTTGACCCACAAAGTTCCTCCCCCACCTCATTTTCACTACCATCCTCCTGGAGGGGAATGATAGAGCAGCTTGGTGGCACCTGGCATCCAGCCAGCATCAACCCACCACAGTAGTTGGCGCTTTCTTCCACAGTACCATACTATCTTTTGCTTAAAATACAGAGCACCAAGTAAATTCCTCGGCTGTTGATTTTGGTTGTCTAAATTGCAGCACTATTTGTATCAGGAATAGTGTGGCCAGCAGGAGTAAGGAAGTGATCATCCACCCCAGTACGCAGCACTGGTGAGGCTGGCCCTCACATCCTGTGGTTTTGGGCCCCTCACTACAAGAAAGACACTGTGGTGCTAGAGCATGTCCAGAGAAGGGCAACAAAGCTGCTGAGGGGTCTGGAGCACAGGTCTGACGAGGAGTGGCTGAGGGAACGGGGGTTGTTTAGTCTGGAGAAGAGGAGGCTGAGGGGAGACTTTATCGCCCTCTACAACCACCGGAAAGGAGGTTGTAGTGAGGTGGGGGTTGGTCTCTTCTCCTAAGTAACAGGTGATAGGACAAGAGGAAACTGCATCAAGTGGCACCAGGTGAGGTTTAGATTAGATCTTAGGAAAAATTTTTTCACCAAATGGGTTGTCAAGCACTGGAATGGGCTGCCCAGGGAAGCGGTCAAGTCCCCACTCCTTGGAGGTATTTAAAAGCTGTGTAGATGTGGTGCTTAGGGACATGGTTTTGTACTGGACTTGGCAGTGTTAGGTTGATGGTTGGCTTGATGATCTTAAAGGTCCTTTCCAACCTAAAAGATTCTGTGATTCTATTCCCTTTCCTTCCTACAACACAACACAACTGTCTCATTAGGAAACTGTTTGTAGTCCCCAGTAAAACCAAAGGAGTTACGTGAGAAACTTTCAGCCTTGTAGTGGTTAGAGCTGTCATCTACTTTACATACAACAGTCCGTGGCTTATCTCAACTTCCTGGGAAAGAATTCTAGACTCCATTTAGAAATCAAATTGAGTTCAGGTTAGTTTACATTTTCCCACGGGTCCCATGTGTTATGCAAGTCTTTTTTTAAAATGCAGCAGTAGTAATTTGGTTTTGTTCTGCATTTGAAAATAAAGCTTTTCCTTCAGCATATCGGACACCAGGTATTAGATGGAACCTAAGTCTGCATACATTCTTGACCAAAACAAGTTTATTGTTCAGCAGAGCAAACTGTGAAAGTTCAGAAGGGAAGTCTGCCTGTGCTGTTACAACACTGAACCAGCTTTTTAAAAAAAGAGTTACACTGGCACAGGCCTTTGTTTAAATAAACTTTCATTTTTGGTATTGATCTGTTTGAATAATTGTATTTAAATCCATTTTGTTTGGAGCATGTTCACCTGCATAAAAATAGAAAGTTTGTTTACTGCTTTGCATTAATTCCAAAGACGTACTTCTTGTATCTTAAATTGTCTCAGCATATTCATTACTGATTTTAACTCTGTGATCTCCAGCTGCAAACGTAGTATTTACCCCCAGGTAAAGACTGGCACACAAGTTTGAGCGATATTCTTTATTAAAGCAGGAAGTACATCCACTGAGCGCAGCGTAAAATTCACCTCATATTCAAGCGCTTTACACTGTAAAGCCTAACAAAATAGTTCAGTTAGAGCTGTACTCCATGCTGCATTAAAAAAATGAGTTTAGAATGAAGAACCAAACTAAAATCAGTTATGCTGAAAAAGCTTTCTTCTTTTTGCGAGGTGGCTTCTTTATCTTATTTGGATTTGGAACAAGTTTCTTGATTTTCAAAGGCTGCAAGATTACATTTGAAAGATCCAGCTGATTGCTTTCTGTACGCTTCCGCTTCTGGCTTGTGAGCTCATCCCCCAGCGCCCCTGCAAGCTGCTCGGGTTCCTGATTTTCTGAAGAATCTGTATGTGCGTAAGCCACTGGTTCTTCAGCTCTGTACTGAAACCATGGCACTTCCAAAGCTGGTATCTTTGGAATTATTGCTTCTATTGCTTCGGTAAATTTATCAGACTGCTTTTTAAAGCCTAGCGCTAAAATGGATGTTAAGCCAAGAAGTGGCGCAACTGTTTCACTGAGACGGGGAACCTGGCCTGCTGGTGTGGCTCGACTTGCGCTCAGCTGAATAAGATGCGATGTGATCATGGCAGGTTTTGCAGACTTGCACACCAGCAAGAGGAGTAGTTCATTTTTTTCCAATGCTTTTGTAACTTCGTTAACCCCAATAGCAAGCTGTCTTCTGATATTTATGTCAGTCCACCCTGTTTTTTGTCGAAGGACTTCTGCTTCCTCTTCTTTAGGGAGTTCATTGGTGCTAGCATCACACTTTCTTTCCACTTGTTTTTTTGTAAGGGAACGTTTTTTCTTTCTTGGAGTCTCAATCTTTTTAAGTCCAGTATGTTTAATCCTTTCTTCTAAGGTCTGTAGTATAAAATGCATATCTTCTCCATCTATGGGTTTCCATTGAAAAACAAAGGGGTTATCTAGACACGTTTTTACAGTGATTTTCTTTGCTTTACGAAGTGTTGCCGTCCCTTGCTGAATCACAGACATCCTGAGGTTCTTTTGTGTTTTGCTGCCCTAGCTGTGAAGGGAAGAGAGAGGTAAGCGTTAGTTCAAATACTGTACTGTTTGCTGGGGACATCATTACCAGAAGCTTCCCTTGGGAATGCAGAAGAGAAACATTGCATCTCAAAGTGATCCTGGAAACTGCCACCCTCCTCGCATTAGCTCAGTGCTAATCCTTAAATAATCTTCCACTAGGCACATGCTCTGCTGCCTTTTTTTTTTTTTTAAATAAATAAAAAACCCCAGCAAACTGGACAGTGAGGCAACACCAGTGACAAGAGACCCTGGGGAAGCTGAACGAAAGCAGCTGGAGGTATTACAGATTCAAAAACAAAACAAAGAAAACCCCCAGAACCACAAGTTGAAGGACCACCCAATTTTCACTGTAGCACAGCTGCCTTGTAGCAGTATTATGACATAAAAAAACCCCAACAACCCAGAATCACAAGAGGAAACAACCTCCAAGTTCCTGAACTTATTTAGGAGTTTTAAAACTTGAATTTGCCTTTTCATTCTTTAATCCATGTCTTGTGTTTGTCTGCATTTAGAAGGCATGATAGAAATCTGCAGACTCTATTATGCTGTCAGTGAAGGAAGGCAATCCTCAACAGGCCTCCAGAAAGTTCAGAGAGAGTCTTTTACTCTTGTGTCACCTAGACCGTGCCTTTAGGGATGAGAAAAACAGAGTGGAGAAAGTATAATTGTGGTAGCTCTGGTTGATCTAGTGCAGAGTAACAGTGAAGACCTGAAAGCAGGCCTGATTACAGGCCCTGGTAACTCAGTAAATCCCCATACTCCTGCTTGGGTTACTGTTCACCACCTCCTTGCTACACTGGTAATATCTTCACTGTTGCACAGCCAAGCTTACGGAGTAAGAGCAGCTCAGGTTTCGATTCAGGAGAAATACGACACGACTCTCTCCTAGGTTTCCCAGTTACCCACGTAGGCATATGGGTAGCATTTATCTACATCTCTTGAGTGGCGGCCTTTAGATATCCCTGGTCTGGAACCCAGCAGGGGAAATGCATCGAGCGGAGTTGCACCAACGCCACACGAACTGTGAAGCTGTCATCCACAGCGAGAGTCAAACACTCAGAGGTAGTTTTCAGAGAACAGGTAAAAGTGATTAAGTATTTCGAAATACAGCAAAGCACTGTGTCCCTCTCTCAGTACTCTCAGAAGAACCAGTGAAATGCCCTGCAGGGCCACCTAGGTGATGGTCCATCCAGCCCGGTTGTCTGCCTCCAACACTGGGAACTCAGGAAACTAGCTGGGGGGGGTAGGGCCACCATTCCCCTCTGCTCCCAAGCACCCAGAACGGTTGCATCAGGGATGTAAGACGGCAGATCTGCCGATTTGTTTTATTAGTCCTTTACGGAGCTATCGTCCATGCAGTTATCTAATCCCTACCATCACAGCAGCAACAACCGAAGAATGGAAATGACCACTAGAAATCTTACATGTCACTGAGTTAGAAATAGAAGCTTATTATAGGTCTAAAAAACAAAACAAAACAAAACACCTCTGGGTTATTTTAAAAGCTTTCAATCATGGATGCTCCGATGACCTTTTACGGGGGGTATCAAACGAAGTCAGCACCAGGCTTGTATATGAGAAAGGAGCAAGACGTGGGAGATCTCAGTTGAAAGATGACGTTTTTCTTTTCAAAATGGGCGCTACTGAGGAAAACAAGCGTGCCGGAATAGGAAATAAAGCAACGAGGCGAAAAAGAAGCCTCGCTAAGCCCCTCGGCCCCGCACAGCTGCCACGATCACCCCCGCTTCCTGCGGAAGGGAGAA